ACAAGGAGTGGACAGTAGAGAGGGGGATGGTGCAGGGAGGGTGCTAGTTTAGAAGATGGTCTCTGAAGAGCAGGGTCTACAGGAGTTTCTTGAAAGTCGAAAAGGAAGCCCCTGTTCTGGTAGTGCTTGGTCTGTCATTCCACATTTGTGGAACGATGCATGAGAAGAGTCTGGATTGTCCTGAGCGTGGTGTAGGCACTGCTAGCCGACGATCCTGTGATGACCTGAGCGGCCGGGCCGAGACGTAAGCCCACTCCGAGTACAGATACAGATAGTGGTGTGCACGCTTATCCTTAGCAACAAGTATGTTGCAAAATTGCTGGTTGAATTTAGCAATGGATCGAGCGTCTTGTGAGAACACAATATAGAGTTTAGTGTCTTGAATTCAAAGCCCTGGCAAAGAGACATCTGCACCTAATCTCCTCTGCCAGCCAAACTGCATTGCTGTAGTCAAGCCACATTTAAATGAGTTATTATGATGCATTTAGAGGAAAACCATCCATATTTATGTAAATTCCTGCTACGGAGAATAGGGTCTGATTTCTAAAGAGGTTTGCTGCTTGTAACACATCTAGCATGAAGAATTTGCTGTTTTCTATGAGCTGGCAGGGATCCAGTCTGGGAAAAGAAACAATGACAATAAGCTTCTGGATTTTTTCTACGCAAAAAGAAACCTGATACAATTTAATTCATTGACATTTTTTATCATTTTCATGTTTGAAGAAGTTTACTAATACATTTATAAGACCTGCTCTTTTTTATTTATTTATTTTTTTGGGACATGCAGAGTTTCAAATGCATATAGAACATGAAAATAGTCTTCTACCCCTTTTAATTGCATTAGCGGCCAAAAGAAAATAGACAGTGAAATGCTCGAGATGGAAAAACTGTAGTCTCTTCTGTCAAACTTTAAATTAGCATTCATTTAATCACCAATCTTGGCTCAAGACCTGCAAAGGTTGTACTGATCATTGCAGCCAGGAGAGAGCACAGCTTGTCTCGGCTAGACGCAGTGGCGGTTCTACATCGAATTACTCCCCGGGCGAGGCCCCCTTTGAGCGCCCCCCCCCCCCCCCCCCCCCCCCCACCACCACCACCACCACCACACCACACCACACCACCTTCATGAACACACGCATGTTTTCTACAAACAGGCATGTTTTATTAGAACGACTATTGAACATTCATTTTTCTAAGTTGCACATATTTACATTAATTACTATAAAGTTGTCAGAATGTAAAGCAATATACATTATATACTGTATCAAAATATATAGAATCAAATATACAAAAACAAACAATAACTAAATATTAAGAATATATGAACATAATAGATAATATTCTAAATAGCAAAAATATTTCACACATAACAAACTAAAGATAATCACTACAGCATTGCACTTAGAACAGAAAACACAAACTAAAATTAAAACCTATCCTTGATGCAACGTTGTCAATAATGTCATCATATGAAATCTGCTCCCCTACTGAGTGATTGATACTAATCAGAGCCAGGTTAGTGAGCCGCCCCTGAAACAAAGTTGACCTCAGGTATGACTTGATCAAGTTTTGAAAAGCTCCTCTCAGCTTGAGCCACAGTGACTGGCAGAGCAGTCCAAAAGTTGGGGTAGATCTCCAATAGATCTTTATCATGATCCATAATATTTTAGAATTGCCTCTGAAATTGTAATTTAAACTGACATAAAAAAAACTGTAGACTACCAAAAAAGCCAACTTTTACAGAACAAATCATGTAAAAAATAATCAGTGCAGCCATCTGCAATAAATAAACAGGATAGTTAGTGGTGACTGGGGTGTTTTCTTCTGCTTGTAGAGTTGTTTTATTTATTATTATGTGAACATGATCAACATGTGTTTGTTGTTGTTCAGGCAGGCCACAGGCTGCAGTGAGCATTTAACAAATCCTAGTTTGAATCAGTAAAAAACGATTCAAGGACTTTTTTTCGAACCATTTGAATATTCGTTTCAATATTTCAGCCCTATTAGGTCTGTTAGCAATTAAGTGACCGCATTTAACCGTTAAAATCCCAGTTAACTGGTTCAAAAAATTGAAAACATGCATCATGAGAGCTACATACCTTTATCTTTCTCCTCTTTTTTCTTTTTTTTCCCCCTGAATCGGGCACCTGTTGGTTTTAGCCTTTTTATGTTCATCTCTTCTGTTTGGCCCCTGACTCAGTAAGTTTCGTTTAGTCAGGACTAAACAATTTGACCTTGATGGGGGGGGGGTGACCACAAAATCGTTTTTGTTTTTCCTTTTTTCATTCGGCCATTTCACACAATTCAGAGAAACCTGAAAGAATGATAGGCCTGTGTTTATGATATTATGAATGAAATATGGAAGAACGTTAAGATGTGATTGACTTTAGCCACGTTAATACAGTTGATTCAGCCCCTGCACGCTCATTCATTTGGGAAAGACGCAGAGGTGAATTCCCCCGCCGCACCCCTCCCCTTCCTGTTCTTCATAGACACACGGTGCATGTGAACGTTCTCAGTCAGCAGGAGCGCCTGCAGCTGCAGGGGTCGCCAACTTGCTGTTTCCAATCCAGACACTGTCATATGACAGATAATAGAAAACCTCGGTGCGGCGCAGATTTCCTTTTTTTTTTTTTTTTACTCCGCGCTTGTGCGCCCCTTTTGTGTCATGAAAAAATGCCGCCCCGGGCAACTGCCCTGTCTGCCCATGCCTAAAACCGCTACTGGCTAGACGCTAACCGCTAGCATCAGCAACTCCTTCAGCTTTGTGTTATTTGTGGAGACAAAACATCAGTATGGTAGAGCAAACAGAGTCAGTGGTAGAGTCATGTTTCTGTTAGCCAATCAGAGGAGAGATGCTCAAGAATCATAAACAATAATGAGTAAGTCACCTAATCCAGTAGTTTTCCATCCCACCCCCACAACTCCCACCACACACACTCATCACACACTTCTCTGGCTAACTTCATACTAGAAACCACAGCAGATTTTTTTGAAACAATGAGTGTACACCCGCTTTTTTTTTCTCTTCTGGCACTCAGAGCACAGACGCTTCCCTTTCTGCTCCCTTATTTTTTTTCCCAAGGCTCTTTGTCCCGTCTGCCTACAGAGCGCTTCTCTGCATTTCCTCTGGAAATCAGTATTTTTCAGAAATGGATTTAATTAATTGGTCATTCAACGCGATTGATAAGATTTTTTCTATGATGAGAATGGAGGAGGGGGCTCGCGCTTGTCCTCACGGGACACACGCAGCGGGATATATGCTCGATTCCTGGAAGAAGTGGAATATCATCTGCCTCTCTCAGCTGTCCATTGAGGACGTCGAAGATGTGTGGATATTTGGCCGGATGATCACTGGATTTCTTCTGATTGGAGTGGGAGGATATCTTGTTTTCCGAAAAATTGGGATGATGGGAGTGATTGGAGGGCGACCCACACCCATGGACGGCACCGTCCGGGCGGAGACCTCACAGACTGGGACGTTACTCGAGGTGAATCGCAAGCTGGACAATGTCTGAGCTGCGTTACCGGTGTTAGTGCGCAAAATGGATGTCATCTCAGAGAGGGTCACCGGACGGTGTGGAGATGTTTAATCACCGAATTGGCTTCACTGGAGGACTTGAATGATCAATACAGACTTTGAGGCAGAGAGGAAAATTATCTCTGCCTGACCGAAACAAAGTCCTGTTATCCAATCTGACGCCATAAGCAGCCTTGGAATTGCGTGCAACAACCCCCACGATGGAAGGAATTCAGACAGATGCTGTGAAAACCCTACCTACCCCCCGCCTTCAGATTGTGGTCTCTGCAGCGAGGTCATCAAAATGGAGGCACTCAATGTGCTCTGTGCTTTCCCATGACCTCCCACCCACCTGTGGATTCAGTTGGCCGAGAGCCACATGGGGGGCTCCCGCTGAGGAAACCAGGAACCCAACCCGGCTACGTGTGGACTAGCCCTTAATCTAGTGTGTTGGACCAGAGAAACCACTAAAATGGGTTGGATACCAACCCTCGAGGCGCAGAACTGAATAATCCTGATATACATATTTGTACATAATTGTTTGTATTTTTGTACAGCACATCGCAACGTTTTCTGAACATGACTCAGCCTCAAACATTATACACATTTCACCCCCGATCAGGCATTTTATCTTGTGTGTGAAAGTAACGATGAGGGGGCACTTCCCTATTTTGTTTCATGGCTATAATGAGAGACTGTCTAAAGGTCATGCACTGCATTATGATTGGGAACAAAATAATTAACAGAACTCTCATCTTGGTGGAGAAAAATACTAAGACCATGAGTAGGTAATGAGAGTAAATAATACTGCTTACTGTAAAAGGACAGTTTTATTGTCTGGCTATACGGACATAAATCTGAGAAAACAAATTATAAGAAGACTCATTGGGGATGGCAACATGATCCTTTTGGCCAGTTATCTTACATATAACCAGGCTTCAATATGACCCCTCAGCTCAGAAAAATAACTATGTTCAGGATGAAAGATATGTCAGCATTTAAAAAGTAGAATTTTTCATCAATCCTACACATACTATCTTTACATGGATCCAGAATAATAATTAAAACTGTGATTTTAGACATTGAGAGCTATATATTTTGTTATTTATTTTTGTACAGTGATTTTCACTTTTGTTCTGACTTAGCTAGGATCCTTTCGGCTTCATCGCAATAAAAATGATTTGACTTACCAAAAACCATTACCACTATTGTCATCATTAGAAGTGTAAAAATAATCATATTTTTCTTTTAGTTATGCCAATATGTTCATTTGTAAGATAAATAGTGATTGCTATTAAATTCTTGTGAAAATGAAGCATTATAGTGAAGTTCTCCACTTCCATTTTATTTTATTTAATATTTGCTTTATAAAAGTAAATCACTTTTGGCCCAGTTTAAAAAAAATCACTCCCTATGTTTTCTCTAGTTCTTTTTTTAATTTTTTATTTTAGCTGCAAGGACAATTAGTTCACTGGCTTACCTCTGAAGAGCATTTATCTTGTCGGCCTGTATTCGCCTCAGTAGCTCTTCTAGCAGGTCCGAGCTTTCAGGTGAGGGAAGAGATGAACTGACTGAGGATGTGTGGCTGAACCAGCCAACCAGGATCCCCAAGATCAACCCTCCCACTCCTGCAAGAGCATATCTAAGGACAAAAACAGAAAATAGGACAAAGATTGCATGAGGAATAATTTGTGGTTCCAGTGAGATAACTGTCAGTACCTCCAGTTCAAAATATGTATAAAAAAGATGGAAAAAAATTGTTGTCATGCCAATGTGTGAAAACTGAGGGGGCAGAAAAAGCGAGAGAGAAAGGTACAGTTACATCATCAGAAATACATATATGTTACAGAGGATATGTGAAAAGTGTTGCATCACTGAGGGGAGCAAATGATAAATGTAATGTATGTTCCTTGATGTATGAAAAACTGAATAATTCATTTAAAAGGTAACAAACTGCCATTGGAGGAGTCACATATTTAACCATCAGAGGGAAAATGATCACTAAATAATAACTCAATAATTAAGAGGTGAATACATTATTTGAGTGATGATCATGATCTTGAGTATCAAACTACTTTAAAATTAGTTTAGACAGTTTGTCAAGCCATGAATTTGTTTTGTATGTTTAATTTGTAAGAGTGGAGGGAGGAGGACACCTTATCGTGGTGGAGGAGTTTGAGTGCCCTAATGATCCTAGGAGCTATGTTGTCTGGGGCACTTAGTGCCCCTGGTAGGGTCTCCCATGACAAATTGGTCTTAGGTGAAGGGTGAGACAAAGAACGGTTCGAAGGATCTTTCATGGCGGTTAAAATGAAGAGTCGGAGTACCCGGCCCGGAGGGTTACCGGGGTCCCACCCTGGAGCCAGGCCTGGGGTTGGGGCCCGTGAGCGAGCGCCTGGTGGCCGGGCTTTCGCCCATGGGGCCTGGCCGGGCCCAGCCCGAACCGGATACATGGGCTCGTCCAACTGTGGACCCACCACCCGCAGGAGGAACATGAAGGGTCCGGTGCAATGCGAATCGGGTGGCAGACCAAGGCGGGAGCCTTGGCGGTCCAATCCCCGGACAAGAAAACTAGTTTTTGGGACATGGAACGTCACCTCGCTGGCGGGGAAGGAGCCGGAGCTTGTGGCAGAGGTTGAGCGGTACCGGCTAGATATAGTCGGACTCACCTCGACACATTGCATTGGCTCTGGAACCCGAGACCTGGAGAGGGGTTGGACACTCTACTTTGCTGGAGTTGCTCCGGGTGAGAGGCGGAGGGCTGGGGTTGGCTTTTTGTTAGCTCCGAGACTCTCTGCCTGTGTGTTGGGGTTTACCCCGGGGGACAAGAGGGTAGCTTCCTTGCGCCTTCGGGTCGGGGAACGGGTCCTGACTGTTGTTTGTGCTTATGGGCCAAATATCAGTTCAGAGTACCCACCCTTTTTGGAGTCCCTGGGACGAGTGCTAGATAGTGCTCCATCAGGGGACTCCATTGTCCTGCTGGGGGACTTCAATGCTCACGTGGGCAATGACAGCTTGACCTGGAGGGGTGTGATTGGGAGGAACGGCCCACCTAATCTGAACTCGAGCGGTGTTTTGTTATTGGACTTCTGTGCAAGCCGCAGTTTGGCCATAACGAACACCATGTTCGAACATAAGGATGCCCACCGGTACACTTGGTACCAGGGCAGCCTAGGTCACAGGTCGATGATAGATTTTGTAGTCGTATCATCTGACCTGCGGCCGTATGTTTTGGACACCCGAGTGAAGAGAGGGGCGGAGCTGTCAACTGATCACCACCTGGTGGTGAGTTGGATCAGATGGCAAGGGAACATGCCGCGTAGACCTGGCAGACCCAAACGCATAGTGAGGGTCTGCTGGGAACGCCTGGCAGAAGAACCTGTCAAGACGGTCTTCAACTCCCACCTCCGGCAGAGCTTTGACCACGTCCCGAGAGCAGTGGGGGACATTGAGTCCGAGTGGGCCTTGTTCCACTCTGCGATTGTCGAGGCGGCTGTTGCTAGCTGTGGCCGTAAGGTGGCCGGTGCCAGTCGTGGTGGCAACCCCCGTACCCGCTGGTGGACACCAGAGGTTCGGGGAGCCGTCAGGCTGAAGAAGGAGGCCTACAGGGCGTGGCTGGTCTGTGGGTCTCCGGAGGCAGCAGACAGGTACCGGATAGCCAAGCGGGGTGCAGCAGTGGCAGTTGCCGAGGCAAAATCTCGGGCGTGGGAGGAGTTTGGTGAGGCCATGGAGAAAGACTATCGATCGGCTCCAAAGAGGTTCTGGCAAACTGTCCGGCGCCTCAGGAGAGGAAGGCAGCAACTCGCTCACACTGTTTACAGTGGGGATGGGGAGCTGCTGACGTCAACTGAGGCTATAGTCGGACGGTGGAAGGAATACTTTGAGGAGCTCCTCAATCCCACCAATGCGCATTCCGAGGAGGAACCAGAGCTGGGAGGCCTGAGGATGGACTGTCCGATCTCGGGGGCAGAAGTTGCTGAGGTAGTCAAACAACTACACAGCGGCGGAGCCCCGGGGGCGGATGAGGTTCGTCCTGGGTATCTCAAGGCTATGGATGTTGTAGGGCTGTCATGGCTGACACGTATCTACAACATTGCGTGGTCATCGGGGGCAGTTCCTAGGGAGTGGCAGACCGGGGTGGTGGTCCCCATCTTTAAGAAGGGTGACCTGAGGGTGTGTTCCAACTATAGGGGGATCACACTCCTCAGCCTCCCTGGAAAGGTCTACGCCAAGGTACTGGAGAGGAGGGTCCGATCGATAGTTGAATCTCAGATAGAGGAGGAGCAATGTGGTTTTCGTCCTGGCCGTGGAACTGTGGACCAGCTCTATACCCTTGCAAGGGTGATGGAGGGGGCATGGGAGTTTGCCCAACCAATCCACATGTGTTTTGTGGATTTGGAGAAGGCTTATGACCGTGTCCCCAGGGGCACCCTGTGGGGGACACTCCAGGAGTATGGGGTGGGTGGCTTTCTGTTAAGGGCCATTCAGTCCCTTTACCAGAGGAGCGTGAGTTTGGTCCGCATAGCCGGTAGTAAGTCGGACCTGTTCCCAGTGAGGGTTGGACTCCGCCAGGGCTGCCCTTTGTCACCGGTTCTGTTCATCACTTTTATGGACAGAATTTCTAGACGCAGCCGTGGTGTGGAGTGTGTCGAGTTTGGTGGCAGGAGAATCTCGTCTCTGCTTTTTGCGGATGATGTGGTCCTCCTAGCTTCATCCAGCTCTGACCTTCAGCTCTTGCTGGGTAGGTTCGCGGCCGAATGTGAAGCGGCTGGGATGAGGATCAGCACCTCCAAATCTGAGACCATGGTTCTCGACCGGAAAAGGGTGGCTTGCCACCTCCGGGTCGGGGGAGAGGTCCTACCTCAAGTGGAGGAGTTTAAGTATCTCGGGGTCTTGTTCACGAGTGAGGGTAGGAGGGATCGGGAGATCGACAGGCGGATTGGTTCGGCGTCTGCAGTGATGCGGACGCTGAGCCGATCTGTCGTGGGGAAGAGGGAGCTGAGCCAGAAAGCCAGGCTCTCGATTTACCGGTCGATCTACGTCCCAATCCTCACCTATGGTCATGAGCTTTGGGTAATGACCGAAAGAACGAGATCGCGGATACAAGCGGCCGAAATGAGTTTCCTCCGTAGGGTGGCCGGGCTCAGCCTTAGAGATAGGGTGAGGAGCTCGGACATTCGGGAGGGACTCGGAGTAGAACCGCTGCTCCTCCGGATCGAAAGGAGCCAGTTGAGGTGGTTTGGGCATCTGGTCAGGATGCCTCCTGGACGCCTCCCCGGGGAGGTGTTTCGGGCATGTCCTGCCGGCAGAAGGCCCCCGGGTCGACCCAGGACACGTTGGAGAGGTTACATCTCCAATCTGGTCCGGGAACGCCTTGGGGTCCTGCCGGAGGAGCTGGTGGACAAGGCCGGGGAGAGGACGGCCTGGAGCTCCCTAGTTGGGATGCTGCCCCCGCGACCCGGACCCGGATAAGTGGAGGAAGACGAGACGAGACGGGAGATACATTATTTGAGTGATGATCATGATCTTGAGTATCAAACTACTTTAAAATTAGTTTAGACAGTTTGTCAAGCCATGAATTTGTTTTGTATGTTTAATTTGTAAGAGTGGAGGGAGGAGGACACAGGTGGACAACATCATATGTCATTTGAAGCAGAATATGGACTGTGAGGTAGTAGTAGGTGAGAGTGTTGCGAGACAGCATAGGATGATGGTCTGTAGGATGAAACTGATGGTGAGGAAGATGAAGAGAACACAACCAGGTGGTGGAAACTAAAAAAAGTGGTACGACTGGCCAGATACTAATGTGATTAGACAGAGAGTCACGTGGGGTCCGGAGCTCTATTGGCATGTTGGACAAAAATAAATGATGATGATGATGATGATGATGATGAAATTTAAAAAGAGCACTTTTAAACTTTTAAATTTAGTTGCAGAAGTCAAGGCTGTTGAGGAATCTCTAACTTTTACTTATTAGTTTTTCTGGAATCTGTAACTCAAGTGGTTATTGCTACATTGTGGTGTCGAGCTGACTGAGGAACGTGACACCATTGTGCATGCTGGTGACTGAGGCCCATTCATGTTGAATGCCAGCTCCCCCTTCTTCGTCATCCATGAATTAGGCAGGCTGGACACCTAAAAGGCGTGTTGCTGCCACAACAACCAACCCCACAGCCGAGTCCCCCCCCCCCCCCCCCCCCACCACCACCACCACCACCCTGTACACCGCCAAACCACTGCCAATACACCACCACCCCCTCCTCCTCCACCACCACCACCACCAGCACATACCCCGTGAACACACCCTAGCCCCACAGGGAGGCTCACCCCACACTTGTTCCCCCTCTCTTATCACCAACATCCACCACCATGGGTGACCCTCCATCATCTGTAGAGCCCCCAGTCCTCCGCAAGCAAGCAGTCCCAAAAAACCTCTTCGGGAGACACGTCACGGAAGCCCAGAAATGCCTCTGCAGCCGCAGTCACCTCACACGCCACATCAAACTTGTTTGATGCCACATGCTTCACCCTCCACAATGCCTCCACTAGAAATGCTGGAAACTGTCTTTTATCCCTCACAACCACCACCCCCTCATCCCCACTACCAGTTGACTTAGACCCAGTTCAAGGCCCCGATGCACCACCACCCGGACCCCAACACAACACACCACCTCAGCGAAAGACACTTTGCACTCTGCCTGAAACTTCTCTACCAGCACTTCTGTCCTACACACCATACAACCTCCATAAGCCGCCTGATGAGCCTCATCACAATTAAAACAGCAGAGCGGAAGATCACAGAGCTTGCCTCATGGCCGCCCCGACTCCTCACCCCTCCACACAGACTCCGGCCACATGACCAAAGCCCTGGCACTTAAAGCACCTCAAGGGAGGCTCCTCATAGACCCTTACTGGGAAACTAAGAAAGCCCAACTTGACACACGCCGGGAGCTCCACTGTGCCAAATCTACTTAACAATGGAGTGGACCCACACTTATCACATCCCAAAAGCCGAACCAGCACCACCGCCTCTTCACTCAGGGCACCCACCACCTCTGCCTCAGTAACACCATTAGAAACACCATAAACCACCCCCTTAACCAATCCACCAGACCGCGACTCTGAGACTTCCACACTCACCCCAGGAACTCCTCAAGCTCCAGCGCCAGGTAGAGCTGGGTCTTAGTCCTACAGACCACCACCAACAACTCACCAAAAACAACTCCCTGGACATCGCCAACAGGTTAGTGGTAACGGAATGCGCCCCACCATGCCCGAATACAGACCACAAAGCCCCCCTCTGCAGTCCTCAGCTGCGGATCCATATCACAGTCCAATGCGCCATCAGTGCCCCCACGGTCCTGCTTTTCTGCCCCAGTCACAACCGACTGAATGGCCTTACTTGCTCCCCTCCGCCACACCCAAGGCTGAACCGAAGCGAAGCCGGGCCGCAATCATATGGGCCATTCCCATCTGTACCGGGTCGGCCCGGGCCGGGTAGCCCCAGTCGGCCCCAGCCTGGCCCGGTTGATTCCACACATCCTTGCCTTAAGCCCATGTGGGCTGATTCTACCCACCAATCAGAGGCTTGCTCTAATGGAAGGTGTGAATTTGCTGTCAGCAGTGGGTGTGTTGGCCCTGGTCGGCCTGAAGCAGACCCCCTCGAGAAGAGGGCTGAGAATGAGCCTTGGTTGGCCCGGAAAAATACCAGGCCACCCAGATATGTAAACAACCTACGCTACCCGGCCCGGGCCGACCCGGTACAGATGGGAATGGCCCATTACTGGGCCTGTACAGGCCGTCGGCTGACCACTCAAACAACCCCCGAGTCTAGCCCAAACTGAACTGAAAACCCACAAACAAACGCCTCACACCTCCTGTCAACGCTTCTGACAACAATTGGATCTACTGTTGACAACTCCCCCTGGTGGAAACGCAGCACTATTAGTCAATGTGGTAGGCTTGCAGAAATTATTTGTGCCAGGGGAGGGACTTAGGAGAAAACAAAAATAATGAATGATTACTTACTATTTCTCATAGGACTGGGTCAGAAGGTCAAATTTAAGGATTTTAAAAGTTATTTAATAAATCAAACTTAGGTACCACACCTTGATGGTTGTTTGACCTTTCTGAGTGTTCACATTGTTTTTTTAATAAACATTTGTCTATAAAATGAACAGATTTATTGAGTTGATACCATCATGGCTAATTAACCAATTTAATCACTGTGAACCTTATTTATACTTTTAGAAATAGCTCACTGTTTGCTGAGAGCAAATCATTTTAAAAAAGGAGAATCTGCAGCAGTCTTCAATTTACCTGAGCATGACACATTGGTGCCGTCTGTGGCCTTTGTGACCAGGAGATCTGGTCTGGAAGTGGGAGACGTAGTCTGGATCTTCTTGGAGTCGTTCAAACCGTCCATGTGTTGAAACCGAAACTGATGGCTGAATTGGTTCCATTAGCTCAGGGTGTGGGTCAGAACCTGGGTCTAAGCATCAAGAAAGTAAAACTTTCAGTTAATGACAGGTACCGTAAGAAAATAGCATCATCTGATCACACCTGCTTAAACCTCCGCTGCTATGTTTAATACGTATTACATAAATATGACGCTATACAGGAGAAGAACTTAATGATATCTCTTGAACTGCGATCATATAAGTGTGTTAAACTACACTGATGTTTGAAGGTACCAAAAACATTTTTTTCACAAGTAAATTAAATGTGTTGTCAAACTAGATGCAGACAAACATTGACTCAGAAGTAGAGTTAATCTTGGATTAGTGTAGCCAAATGATGTTTTGTTTTCATTGTGAAATCTTCACCATTGATTATAACAATTCGAAAGTCCCATCTACCTAAGCAAAATAAAGACACAGTGGCCTTGCAAATAGAACACTACATGTCATCAAAATAATAGTCAAAAAGCGTTAATTTGAACTATTATTTTGATGACACTTTATTTTCTATGTGCAAGACTTGATGTGATAATGCCAATGTGTCTTTATTTTGCTTAGGTAGATAGGACTTTCTAATTGTTATAATCAATGGTGAACAATGAAAAAAAGGCAAGTTATGAGATTTAAGATTTGCAAAGTAGCATCTGAATATATCACAAGTCTTCTAGTAAAATATCCTTTGAAAAGATGTGTCTAATATGTGATGTTTACCCTTAATAAACAAACACCTCAAACCTAATGTGAAGCAGGATGTTGGTGGGCTGACCTATGTACCTTGCCATTATCGAGTTGATCATGAACTCCCGTGTATACAAAAGCTTGTGCTGAACTAACTGTGTCTTGCAGTAGGACAACCATTCCAAGCTCAGCAGACTGACTAGAAAATAATCAAGATGTCTCAATGGCCTAGTAAAAGTTCAGACCTTAACCTGATTGAAATTCTGTCGAAAGACCTTAAACGTGCTGTGCATGAATGAGTCTGCAAACCTCAATGAACTGAAGCAATCTTGTGCAGAATAGTGGATCAAAAATCTTTACCACTGGCAGTGACTGCTAAATAATGAAAATAAAATGATCTAAAAAGACATGGTTTTGTTTAAAGAGCAAGTTACCCCCAAATCAACTTTTTTTTTGTGATCAACTGTATAAAGGCGTGTGTAATCGTGCTGCAGACACGTGTAGTCAATAGTTTTGCACTTTAGTGCATTTTAGCTAAAATTTAAATTTTCTGCCTGAAACTGTCAGTGTTGTGCCGTTGTCAGGTAAAAACTCTCCACTGCATTTGAATTTAAATCTGTCACCGCTATTGGCTAAGAGGTGTGCTATGATGTAAATTGGTACATTATGATGTCACAATGTTGTGAGTGTGTGTATTTGTTAGTGGCTCCACCCTCTCGGTCTGCTAGGCAACAGCATTTGTTGCATTTTTCAAACAATGAAGTGGGAGTGAAGTACGCTTCTTGTAAGGGGTGACTTGCTCTTTAAAGATGACAGAGACAGATTTGAGACATTTTAAAACCTGATGAAGCCCAGATCACTTTTAATTTTCCTGTTACATTACAGCCTAGAACAAAACGAGGGAGGACATTTCCCCCATATTAAAGTATGGGGGAAATGTCCTCCTCCGCTTGGCGTTTCCAGAACATGTTTGATTATGGCCCTCTATTATGTTGAATCCATTCCACAGTTTTCATTGGTACACTCAATCCATCCACTCAATCCAATTGTGTTTCTCACATTTGTATTTTACCGGAATGTTTCATCTATTTTGTTATTTCCATTTTGTATTTTGTAATTTGTATTTTGTAATTTGAATTTCTTTTATTGTTGATTTATTCAGTATAATTACTTACAACTGTACCATGTTCAGCGCTTTGGGCGTCCTGACAGGGTTGCGGAAGGCGCTTTATAAATAAAGCTTTGATTGATTGATTGATTGATTGATTAAAGTAACTTAAGCACCTCTAATAGAGCTTTTTTTCTTGTTCATGTGCCAATCAGATCCCATTTTACTGTATCTGGTTTGATGCAGGAGAATTGTTTACACAGAATGATCTGAAAGAACTCAAAGACTGTCCTGCGTCCCATTATCTACAACATTGCACTGGCAAGTGAAAACCACTAGGGTGTTTCTCAATCAGAAACCTTGGCTGATATGTGTTGTTAAATCTTTCTAAAAGATCCTAATTCTGCTTTCTGGTCAGAGTACAAATACTGGTACTGCTTCACTGGAGCTGACTGGTAGAGTGGCAATGAAGGGTGAAAGTTATTGGGGTAAAGTTGGCTCTGGAGTTGCCCAGGTGGGTTGCTGTTCAAACCCAGGCTCTATGGGCAAGATATCTCACCCTCCTTGCCTGCAGCTGGTGGAGGTCATCACGAATTTGTGGTAATACATGTACTTCTGCATCAGAAGCATTGATTCCACCAGGTCACTATTACCCATACTTATACTCTGGCTCTGGCTCACTCTTATGAATGTACTCCAGCCCACTAAAATAATGTCTGCTTAAGGTTTTCAGATGACACAATCATTGTTGGGTTAATTTCTGATGACATGCATGCACAGGATTGATCCAGACACGTGCAACATGGCCGCTAAAACAAAACTGCAATGAACACACTGATAACCAAGACTCTCATCCTGGACTTTAGGTGGCAAACCTTAACACCCTGTCTCCCTGACGCATGTGGAAAATCTGGACATCTGAGTGGCTGGACAACCTCTGATTGTCTGGAGAAATTTACTCTGTTAAGTTCCTTGGCGTTCCCATCTCAGACCATCTCCTTTGGGCTGTCTGATCTGTCAGCATCACAGCAAAAGGCTCAGATGCACCTCCACATGACACTGGTTGCTGATGAGAAACTACCTGCAGAAGATGCTGATAGTGTCTTTCTACCACAAACAAAAGCATCCTAATGTGAGACCAGCTTATATGGCACATAAAAATCTAACTCAACTCAACTCAACTTTATTTATAAATCGCGCCTTACAGGCAAAAAGATGCCACCAAGGCGCTACACTGATCAAATAAAAACATAAAACAGTTAGTCCAGAAAATAAAACATTGTATCACACGATACAGATAAAACTACAGTGAGTAAAATCGCTATAAGTAAAACAATAAAACTAGTTAGAAAGGTTAAAAGACAGGTCATAAAAATATGTTTTTAGCCTTGCCTTAAAAACCGCAACAGAGGTGGAGGCCCTTATGCTGAGAGGAATCTTATTCCAAAGCTTAGGACCTGCCACATCAAAAGCTCTATCACCACGCGTCTTTAGGCGCGTTCTTGGGACCGAGAGGGGCATGAAGTTCTCCGAGCAGAGTGACCGTGAAGGGGTGTAAGGTTGAAGTAGTGACACCAAGTAAGGAGGGGCTAAACCATTTAAGGTTTTAAAAACTAGTAAAAGTATTTTAAAATGAATCCTAACATCAACGGGCAGCCAGTGAAGCGCAGCCAGGACAGGAGTAATGTGGTCAAACTTGCGCCTGCCCTCTAAAAATCTGGCAGCAGCATTCTGGACCATTTGCAACCTGGCTATTGAGCCCTTGCTCACACCGAATAGAACAGAGTTGCAGTAGTCCAGTCGCACCGTAATATAAGCCGTAAAAAAATCTAAAATTAAAGTCAACATCCAGCCATCCATTGTTGCCACTACTTCGTACCATATATTGTGCATTATGGCCTTTTTTTCTTATAAGTTGTCATTCCTTTTTGAATGTTTATGTTAAAGATACCTGTGTATTTTCTTCACCAGATGAAGCTCCAAACGTTGTTGTAAATTCTACATTTAAGATTTTGATTTTGAAACAATTAGATATAAATTCAGTTGAGTTCAACTAAGACAACCTCTAACCTGATCTTTGGCAATCAACATGTTTCATCTGCATGCGCTCAATGCTTGGTCCGGTTTCTTGCAACTCCTCCTTGTTCAGATCCCAGTCAAGGTCCATATCTTGGGAACAGTGCAGAACCTCCCCCTCCAGTGGGACACCTTGGACATCACACACCTTCCTATATGCCATGATGTTGCCTGGAAGAAATGGACATTGATTTCACAGTAAATTCATTATTTTGTGAAGACTTGGACCATTTTTAACATTCACAGCTGAAACTGAAAATGATGAAAAGATCCTTAAAATTGGGTTAATAAAATGTTCTGGGAGAGAAATATACAAACAGAATATAAGGCTAAGCTTGAAAAACCTCTCATCAAGACAGAGAAGGAGAAGTTGGGTTTTCAAGATTATTTATTCAAATTCTGGGAAAAAATATAACAACAGAAACCATTTTTCTTGTTACCTTTGCTATTATGTGTTTTATAATGATCAGCGTTGAGTGTAAAATAATTGATATTTAGAACATTAGAAAAAATATACTATTGTGTTTTTACTTTCTCACTGTCTAATTTAAATTTTTATTTGTGAAGAAGGCTAAAAAGGTCTTGCGATGCATCACACATATTAATGAAACTAGAAAGGGGAAGTTATTCTGAGGCATAAAGACAAATAATGATTCTGAGGTGAGATGGTGAGTGTGTTTTCACAGTAGTTCTTGGATCATTACAACTCCCAAACAGCATTGTTAACACGCCCGTGACTGATTATGGATGCATAAGGGCTAGTTGTGCATCTAACTTGGCATCAGCTATATAAAATCTTCCAGCAATTTCCTCAGTAAGTCATTAAGTTTAATTGTGCTTTTTACATGATTCATTGGAAAGTGCACTCAATGCCAGAATGACCTGCCTAACATGATCCATAAAAGGCAGAAAACAGGGAAGGAAGGAAAACAAATCAAAACTGCAAACTTGTGTAAATTATACTTTTTCTTTTAAAATATAATTACATTAACACTGAAGTTTATTCTGGTGCCATATAGAGTTATATGAAGCTCAGCAAAAAAACAAAAAAACAAAAAAAAAACCTATATTTGGCATCATTCAGTTCTGATCAGCATGTCGGAATTTCTTTGTTTTCACTTTTCTGAGAGAAATTAGATTCAAGATGCAGTTTAGGAGAAAGTAACTTGGATGAAAAATGCAGGGGAAGGTGGTCAGAGAGAGCACTGTGATGTAAAAAAGGGTACAGGAGCAGTGGTAAAGACAGAGCAATGAGCTAAAAACAGGATGGCAGGGGAAATAAGCTGCAGTGTTTACAGATGGATGAGAGAGGGTAAAAAGCAGAGAAGAGGTCTGGGACTTCCTTGGCATCAATCATCAGCGCTCCACCACACTTTCATTACTTCTAGCTCAATGCAGATGAAGACTCTTCTCACTAAAATGGAACAAAGGTTCATTTCACTACTGACCTCCTGTTACAGCCCTATTCACAGCAGATGGCCTCACCTGATCTCTATTAACAGCTGAAAAGAAAAAAATCCTGGTTTTATATTTTCGTCCTCTTTATTCCAACACATTCTCACACCCAAAGCGTCAAATAATGACGCGTGTGACCAAGCATCAAAATATGATGATTAGGGTGCCCCAGCATGCTGGGAGAGAACGTGCAGGGACTCGAGTCACCGGGGGCATCAGTATCCGACGCACGCGGTGGCACGGACATTATTCCTCGAACCTCTAGCGATTTAACCTTCCCCTCACCCCCATCCTAACCTTAACTCAGTAATTTCCAATTAAGCTTTGCATGTGCAACCTAGTTAAGGTTAGAATGGGGGTGAGGAGAAGGTTAAGTAGTCCACAAGACGGTCAAATGTCCGTCACACTGCGGGAGTCGGATACCGACGCTCTGGCAAAGTGCGTCCCTGTATTTCCTCTCCCGACGTGCTGGGGCACCCTAATCATCATATCTTGAGGCTTGGTCATGCGCGTCATTATTTGACGCTTTGGGTGTGAGAATATGTTGTTTTTTCAGACGGATAATTTAGTTTTAAATTATATATACCATCTCTCTGTTCTACATCAACCCATGCAATTTGAAAAGATACCACTCCTACTGAGAAATACAATACATTTCCTGACTTTCTTTATTCATGATGAATGTTTGGTACAAAAGATAAGTTACGAAAATGTTTCTGTACATTTATTGTCAGAATATGGAGGTATGGTGAAAAAAAACAGAAATAATAATAATAATAATATTTACTGTGTGTGTGCGTGTGTGTGTGCGTGTGTGTTTGTATATATATATATATATATATATATATATATATATATATATATATATATATATATATTCAGGTCCTTCTCAAAAAATTTGCATATTGTGATAAAGTTCATTATTTTCTGTGATGTACTGATAAACATTAGACTTTCATGTATATTAGATTCATTACACACAACTGAAGAAGTTCAAGCCTTTTATTGTTTCTAATATTGGTGATTTTGGCGTACAGCTCATGAAAACCCAAAATTCCTATCTCAAACAATTTGCATATTTCATCCGACCAATAAAAGAAAAGTGTTTTTAATACAAAAAAAGTCAACCTTCAAATAATTATGTTATGCACTCAATAATTGGTCGGGAATCCTTTTGCAGAAATGACTGCTTCAATGGGGAGTGGCATGGAGGCAATCTGCCTGTGGCACTGCTGAGGTGTTATGGAGGCCCAGGATGCTTCAATAGCAGCCTTAAGCTCATCCAGAGTGTTGGGTCTTGTGTCTCTCAAATTTATCTTCACAATATCCCACAGATTCTCTCTGGGGTTCAGGTCAGGAGAGTTGGCAGGCCAATTGAACACAGTAATACCATGGTCAGTAAACCATTTACCAGTGGTTTTGGCACTGTGAGCAGGTGCCAGGTCGTGCTGAAAAATGAAATCTTCATCTCCATAAAGCTTTTCAGCAGACGGAAGCATGAAATGCTCCAAAATCTCCTGATAGCTAGCTGCATTGACCCTGCCCTTGATAAAACACAGTGGACCAACACCAGCAGCTGACATGGCACCCCAGACCATCACTGACTGTGGGTACTTTATACTGGACTTCAGGCATTTTGGCATTCCCCTCTGCCCAGTCTTCCTCCAGACTCTGGCACCTTGATTTCCCAATGACATGCAAAATTTGCTTTCATCCGAAAAAAGTGCTTTGGACCACTGAGCAACAGTCCAGTGCTGCTTCTCTGTAGCCCAGGTCAGGCGCTTCTGCCGCTGTTTCTGGTTCGAAAGTGGCTTGACCTGGGGAATGCAGCACCTGTAGCCCATTTCCTGCACACGTTGGCTCTGGATGTTTCCACTCCAGACTCAGTCCACTGCTTCCGCAGGTCCCCCAAGGTCTGGAATCGGTCTCCACAATCTTTCTCAGGGTCCGGTCACCTCTTCTCGTTGTGCAGCGTTTTCTGCCACACTTTTTCCTTCCCGCAGACTTCCCACTGAGGTGCCTTGATACAGCACTCTGGGCACAGCCTACTTGTTCAGAAACTTCTTTCTGTGTCTTACCCTCTTGCTTGAATGGGAAGAACACAGAAAGCACTACTCAAAGTATAGACAAGAAACATCACAAACTAAATAGAAACAAGTAGAAAAAGAACTGGAAAGAAGATACCTTGACCCCAAAAGAAATGACAAACTAGATGAGAAGACAGAGGTACAAATAAAAGGACACATGATGGAACAACAAGAAAAATAATAGGGATGTCCCGTTCCGATATTGATATCAGATATCGGCCCAAAACCACTATATCAGATTATTTCAGAATGCATCAAAAATCTCTGATATTAGCAGTATGTTCCACTTTAAATTCAATTCCAGCTATTCTATCCATCAGCACCCAGATCCCGCATGCAAACTCCATGTGACCAGAACAGTATGTGCTTGCAAAGTAGCAATGAACAATGGCGGCCATGTGGCTGTATTTTTTGTTAAAGTCAAATTAAGTATATTTAACATTTAGTTCTGATCGGGTGTAATGAGTTTTATGTTTAATGAAATATTGACAGCTATGTTGTTTTGACAATGCATTTCTTTGTTTTGCGTATGCAGCTTGTGATAAAACTTAACGAATGGCCTTTTTGTCATGACTTTAATACACACAACAGTTCACATTTTTAAACTATAAGTATTCTGACTCAATTCAGCCGAGGCTGCTCTGCAGCGGGTCACATGGCAATCTCCACACCAGCTTCTAAATGGCAAAACTTCACAAAATTGAATCCATTCAATTTAACTGTGACTCACTGGGGCAAAAATAAATCAGTGAGCATCTTTTATTCAGACAACCCACTTTATTTAAACTTTGACATGCAAATTTACCAGGTCCAGACATGACCTTTAAAGAAAATGGTGTAATAAATTGTATTCTTGGCTGAAAAGATCCCTGAGAAAAAAAAAAAAAGACAAAAGAAAGCAAGACGGGTCGAGAATTTTCTGACTTGCAATTAAGATTCTTTATAAAATAGTAAATGGCTTCAAAAATGTTTTTGCTACGTTTATTTTGTTCAAAGATCCTCGTGCTCATTGAATGCACCAATATTGTACACATCACCTTCAGAACCAAAGTGTTAAATATCCATTATGTGCTAACGATGAATTAACCGAGTTTAGGGTAAACGCACTGAAGATGATGAAAATGCTGAGTAATCAGGGAAAATGAATTAAAGTATGCATTTTATTAGAGTGTCATAGATTTTCCTTTTAAATAAAATTTGCAATTCTAAGTGATCGTTTCATTTAAAGAGCAATTCCTTTAAGCGTCAAAGTGGAGAACAAATTCTGTAAAGCAAATAAAAATCCATGATGCAGCATACAGTATACTCAGTTTGACCTCTACAGCTCTTCGTTTTGATCAAAAGCTAGTCTGTTGCTTTGAAGATCTGATAACTGCTTTCATAAGCTGGAACAAAGTTTCCTGTCAAATCCTGTCTGTGATATGAAATACTTGCCCACATGGACACACACACACACACATCTTTGTGAGGAGGACAGCATTGAAAGACAAATGCAGGGTTTAGGAACAAGGTTGTCTTTCATCTCATCTCTGTTCACACCAAACATGTCATTGAGGTCTTGTTCAACCATTTTGGGCTATTTACTTCCCACTTGTAATTGTTGTAACACTGTGGTGAGGCAGTCAGATA